TATCTGAACCCTTTCCACTTTCTGCCAAGTGCCTTGTTGGTTTGTCTATTGGTCTGTAATCCCACCATAGTGTGGATTCCTAAAGGCAAACATTAAGTCTTTCTCCAATCTTCTAGCTCAATGCTTGGGACATAGTAGGCTGCTGTTCAGTTCAGTTCAGTCGCTCAGCTGGTTCCGACTCTTTGCGACCCCATAAATCGCAGCACGCCAGGCTTCCCTGTCCATCACCAGCTCCCGGAGTCTACCCAAACTCATGTCCATCGAGTTGGTGATGCCATCCAGCCATCTCATCCTCTGCTGTCCCCTTCTCCTCCTGCCCCCAATCCCTCCCAGCATCAGGGTCTTTTCCAATAAGTCAACTCTTCACATGAGGTGGCCAAAGTATTGGCGCTTCAGCTTCAGCATCAGTCCTTCCAATGAACACCCAGGACTGATCTCCTTTAGGATGGACTGGTTGGATCTCCTTGCAGTCCAAGGGACTCTCAAGAGTCTTCTCCAACACCAAGTTTGTTGAATTAAACTGGATTATATTTCCCCTGTCCAGGAATGTCCAAGCTTATCTTAACCAAATCTCTATTTCCTCTGTGTCCCGTAGTGCCTCCTTGTCATGCTAAGCTGTCCACTTCATCTCTATTCTTCATGATGGTGGCCCAGGCTCAGAATGTATCTTTGCTGGGACCCCCATCGGTATCAGCCACAGGAGCCTGGCTATAGGACTGAGCGATAAAGCTTTACTGCTGCTGGGTGGGAAGCCTCGGGAAACCCACAGCCACAGCTTAGGAAGCACAGGAAGGTATTATTCTGAATATTCCTAGGATCATTTGGAGGTAGGAGACTTGGCCCAGCTTTGTGCCAGGTGTGTGTCTGATGGCCTTGGCCATCATTGCTGATTGCTTCAGGAAAAGAGAGCTGATCTAAAAACCATTTGGGGTCCCAAAACCTAAACCTCTTTTCAGTATTTCACAAAGCTTAAGCAGGCTACTTAATCAACTATGTGATCGGTTGTATGTGAAAACATTGACTTCTCTCATGCGCTTTTTCCTATTGATGTGTAGTTGATTTACAATCTTCTGTTCCTGCTGTATAGCAAAGTGATTCAGTTATACACCTTCTTTATATTTTCCATTATGATTTATCACCAGATATTGACTACAGTTCCCTGTGCTCTATAGTAGGACCTTGTTGTTTATCCATTTTATATGTAGTAGTTTGTATCTGCTAATCCCAAACTCCCATCCTTCCCCTGCCCTCCCTCCTCCTTGAAAACCACAAGTCCATTCCCTATGTCTGTGAGTCTGTTTCTATTTCATAGATAAGTTCATTTGTGTCATATTTTAGATTCCACACATATAAGTAATATCATATGGTATTTGTATTTCTCTTTCTGACTTCATTAGTATGATAATCTCTAGATCCATCCATATTGCTACAAATGGCATTACTTCATTATTTTTTATGGCTGAGCGATATTCCATATATATATGTGTGTGTGTATTTATACACACACCAGATCTTTATTCATTCATCTGTGGATGAACATTTAAGTTGCTTCCATATCTTGGCAATTGTAAATAATGATGCTGTGAACACTGAGGTGCATGTATCTTTTTGAATTATAGTTTTGTTCAGATATACACCCAGGAGTGGGATTGATGGATCATATGTCAACTCTATTTTTAGTTTTCTGGGGTATCCTCCATAATGTTTTCCATAATGGCTGCACCAACTTATATTGCCACCAACAGTGTAGGAGGGTTCCCTTTTCTCCACACCCTCTCCAGAATTTGTTATTTGTAGCGTTTCTAGTGATAGCCATTCTGACTGGTGTGAGGTGATATCTCATTGTGGTTTTGATGTGCATTTTTCTAATAATTAGTGATATTGAGCATCTTTTTATTGCCTGTTGGCCACCTATATGTCTTCTTTGGAGAAATGTCAATTTAGGTCTTAGGCCCATAAGACCTAAGTTGGGTTGTTGGGGTTTTTGTTGTTGTGTGTTGGTATGAACTGTTTGTATGTTTTGGAAATTAAGCCAGTGTTGGTCGCATCATTTGCAAATATTTTCTCCCAGTCTGTAAGTTGTCTTTTTGCTTCATTTATTTCATCTGCTTTTTAGTTCTCATTGGCAGGATATTTTCACTAATTGAGTTTTTTTTCCCCAAGAAGGAACTCATTACTACTCAATCACTGCACTATATTTGGTATATAAAATTTTTCAATTTGTGTATGGTATAGCCCCATGTGAGGTTCAGAGTTAGCCCTGTGTTCAAAGAACACCTCTGCCACTTACCAGCTGTGTAAATATGGGCAAAAAAGTAACCTGAGCTTGAGCTTCCTCATCAGTAAAATGGGAATTATAATACCTATTTCATAACATTGCTGAGAGTGTTCAATTACGTGAGATCGTGTATATAAAGGGTACTTAGCACAGTGCCTGGCACACAACGAGGACTCAATAATTGGTAGTCATTTTTATAATTTCAAAACATAGATCCTAGATATAGACATAACAAAAGATGTATTGGGTGGTACAAAATGAGAAACTGCTGGATTTAACATAATTCCTGGCTGTGCCATAACTATAGTTATGGTAGCTATGGTCCAGCTATGGTAGTTATGGTATAGCTATAGTAGACAAACGTGTGTAGTGTTCACGGATTGTTTGAAGAGCAAGATAAATAGTAGGGGAACTGAGTGGTCACAGTAGTAGATGTTGTTTGTTTAATCCTGATGTTGGGCAAGGGGAATATCCGGAAAAGGAATCTGAAAGCACTGCTGAGAGGGCTCTCATTCAGGTCAGTCCTAAAAATACTCCTCTTCATTTAAGTTGAGAAGTTGCCGTGAGACTCAAGGCTGGGCTTTCAACAGATCCAGCCATATGTGTTCTCAATGCTGGTGAAATCTGATCAGGCCCTATAAGCCTGCACTGTCCTTGCCGACTGACAGCTGACCTCCGCCTGCGTGCTCTGCACCATTCACCTTGCAGAGACAGAGGTCTGATTTCCAAGCAAAGCACTGCTCTTTGTTCTTTTTCTCTTTGATTTTCTTTGTATCTAGTTATTTTGGGGGGAGAAGGAATGGAGATTAGTCTGTTGATTTGCTTTTCCCTCAGTAAGAGGGTTCGCGGGAAATTTTGATTTGAATTATTATCAACAATGAAGAAGAAACACTTTCTCAGCTTCAGAAGAGCACAGTGTGGTCAGATTCCTATATATTGAAAGTTAGGACATCATTTCTTTGTACAGCAATGAAAAATAATTATAGTTCATTACAAAATAGAAAAATTATTTGTATTGAATATGATAAGCAAAGGACTCAATGAAATGTGCATTCAGATTAATAGGAAAAACATCAATACCAATTACATAAGAAGGCAAAGGATATGAACTGTCCTTCATTAGAAATATAATTAGTGAACAAAAAAAACGTTCATCTATTCTAGTAATTGCACATGTGTGCTCAGTCGTGTCCGACTCTTTGCAACCCCATGTACTACACCCCACCAGGCTCCTCTGTCCATGGGATTCTCCAGGCAAGAATACTGGAGTGGGTTGCCATGCCCTCCTCCAGGGGATCGTCCCAATCCAGGGAATGAACCTGCATCTGCGTCTCCTGCATTGGCAGGCAGATTCTTTACCACTGCGCCACCTGGGAAGCCCATACTAGTAATCAGATACATGCAAATTAAAGAAACTGTGAGGTATCATCTTATATAGACTACAATATCTTTTTTTATTGAGACATAGTAACTTTGGTTCCCTCATCATTGCTAGTGGCATTATAAACTGCAATAGCCCTTTGGAAATTAGCACTGCGGACTGTGTAATCAGAGCCTTTGGCTCTGATCACCTTGACTTTGCTGTCTGCTCTCAGCAATGCCAGCCTGTTAACAGCAGCCCTGGTCTTAGGCCCTGCTCTGCACACATCCTGGACCAGCTGAGTCCCCACACTTTCTTCCTGTGACTTATTGCATGTTTCATCCGCTGTAAGAGGAGCTCTTCCTTCCTCTTCCTTCCTTCCTTCTGTAGAATCCCAGTCATTTCCTCTGTGCCTGTTGCTAGGCATCTCCATGTCCCCAAGAGATCTTTCTGGCTCCATTGGCCACAGGACAGTTGGCTGCTGAAGTTGCTCACAGCACATCACCTTCACAAGATATTGAAATAGAAACATTGGTGACCGAGTGTAGAAAAGCCAAAGGAAAAGATTTGCACTCTAAATCTGGAAAAGCAAATCTAAAAGAAACTGAGCCCTGGGCCAACCGTCTTTAATTTCCTGATACACCACTATCAACTTAGATTTGCCTTCTAGGGGACTTTTGAGTTAGGCCAACCCCAGTTTCTTTTCAGAATCATGAAGATACTCATAAATGGTAGGCAGTCAAAGAAGGACTGTTACCCATAGGCCTCTCCTTAGTCTTAATTTACTTGATATCAGTTTAAATCCTGTGCATATCGTGTGTGTGTGTGTTGACAGTCAGAAGTGAAAAGACCCTATAGATAAAAGAAGAAATATTTCAGAAAAATAAAACAACTTTCAATGGCAAACTACCTTACTGTCAACTCTAAGGCAAGGCTCCCAGGGGTGCAGGACACAGTAAAGTTACCCTGGGGGTTCACCACATCCCCTCCCCCACCAACACACATACACATGAGAACACGCATGTAAGTTACCCATATGGCATAGCCTTGCCCCCAGGAGACATGACAAGGGCCAGTGTGAACCCCAGGGTGTGGGTGGAGCCAAAGGCAGGAGGGGAGTAGCCAGCTTGCGCGCGCCTTGGTGTGCTCTCTGGCAGGAACACCACTAGCCCTCTTCCTCGGATGGGCCCCCAACTCCACACCCACGTTTTCTTCCCAGCTCCCGGTGGCCTTCCTTTCAAGGAAAGGAAGAACTCAAAGCTGGGCTACCCCAGCAGTCCAGACAAGTGCCTGGGCCATGAAGAGTGCACACCTGAGGCCGTTGGTGAGCCTGCATTTAAAGTCTTTCTTCTCTCTCGGCAGAACTGGCTTATGATCTGGACGTGGACGATGCTCCTGGAAGCAAGCAGCATGTGAATCAGAAGGACAATGAGATAGTTGCCTCTCACAACCTTGGGAATGGCCATCCTCCTCTGAAGCTTCTCACCAGCTTGGCAATCTCTGTGCTGTGCTTTTTCCTCCTGGTGCATTGACTGCCAAGCTCACAGCATATGTGCTGCCCTTCAGCACCCTGTGGTCTCCCTCTATAAAGGGAACCACCTTTTTCTTTTTCCCTATTTTTTTATCTTCTGTACCTCCTTCAGCCATTAAGTAGAAGACTAACCCTGCGTTACGTTTTCGAAAATCACATGGCATCTCCGTAAGGAGGGCAAATTTTAGTGGTAGTATAGATTCTTTTGCAATAAAGAAAATCAAATTGTGCCAAATTATTTTCTTATGTTTGGCTGCTAGAACATGGTTGCCATGTCTTTCTCTCTGTCTTTCCCTTTGCATGGATTTCTTTGGAAAAAAAAATAATAAACACTCAAATAAAAATGTGTTGAGTCTTTTTTGTAAGCCCTCATACATGGTGACCATGCAGTGCTTTCCTCCTCCTCACCTAGCTTTCCATTCCGTATAAGAAAATCCCCCTCCCTCCCTATCTTTTGGGTGAGTATCAGTCTTGGCCCCAAGCTCCAGTCAAAGCCAATCCCTCCCAACACACACCCCATCCATAATCTCCACTTAGATAGGTTAGAAGGAATTCCCTGATGGTCCAGTGAGTAAGACTCCATGTTCCCAACGCAGGGGGGCTGGGTTGGATTGCTGATCAAGGAACTAGATCCCACATACTGCTACTAAAGCTCCCGCATGCTGCAACTAAGACCCAGGGCAGCCAAATAATTTAAAAAAATAAATGAGTTAGAGTGTCTTGCCTATGAAACTAAAGACACGTCAAAATAGTCCCCCCATCTCTCTTTACAAATTTCACTTTGCTGAAAATGTTTTGCCCAACTAGAAATCCTCTGTATGGATCATGTACACTATTCTTCCTTCCCCCCTAGCAGAGAGGGGTCCCCAAGGGTACAAAGGAGTACTTCCCCCAGCTTCCTTGCTCCCTGTCACTCTTCTGCAGGGGTTGCCACATGACAAGGCCGGGAGTTGCCCTGGGTCAGGTCATAGGGGTTGTTGTCAGGAGACCCAGAATTATAGGAAGCAACGCAGCTCTTGGCCTCAGACGGGTTCCTTCAACAGTTTTTTTTCACAACTAGGCCTTGCATACCTGTTGGCTGTCAGGCACTCTACCAGCTGCAAGATGATAGAAAACCAGATTGGATCCCACTCTCATGGAGCGGAAGGTCTGGCACCAATACTAATTCCAACACCAACTTTCTGTCCATTGTAGGCCCAGTATTATCATTGAAAACTGTGTTTCACACATACGCCAGCCCAATAATGATGCCGATGCTGCTCTTTGAGTGTTCTGCTGCCAAAGAACCTCAGGAATGACTGACTTGACATTGTTTCCAAGGCCTGGCTTATTGCCCATTTGCCAGATCTGGTCACCAGAAACACTGTTGACTCTTTTTATAAGTAGGACCTCAACTCCCACCTGAGGGAAAGGAGAAGCAAGGCTGAAGGATGAGGAGAGAGAGGGGCTGGGCACACAGCCAGAGTGTGAGCCAAGGTCAGGGAAGGGCTGAGACATCCCCTTTGACTCTGGGAGGCGGTCCCAACCAGGAGCTCCCATTTCTGCAGGGTGACAGGAGGAAGGGGGTGGGGGGGCCCATTTCTCACAACTTATGGGTCAACAACACACTTTCATCAGGGTCTCCTGAGGAGCACAAGTTCCTGGTAGCCATGTTCATCCTTTGCAGAAATTTTTGCAAATACAAATTGGAAACTTCTGGTTTAGCATTTCCTTCACTTGGTTTTGGTCAAGGCTAGAATCAGTGGTATTTGTTAGCATCTTTCAATGATTTGTAGTGGTTGGTAAAACTTGAACGGGCATTATCTTTTAAACATCATTATTTCTGTATTTGAGTAAGATTTATGAGAATCATTATTCTTTGATTCATGAAACCTAAATACTGCAAAAGTTTGTTCCTTGGACTCAAGAGTATGCCAGGCTACACTACCAGCAGACCAGAAATCTTGAAAGCCCAGTTAGCACCTAGTGGCTGTCCCTGTCACTTGACAGCAAAGTTTTAATTAATATAGCAAAAATGTGACCCTGAGATTGGGTTTTATGCCTGCAAACAGAAGGGCACCATCTTAAAGTCCTTTTCTCCTCTCTAGGAGACGAAAGGGACTGGGTTTTATGCCTGCAAACAGAAGGGCACCATCTTAAAGTCCTTTTCTCCTCTCTAGGAGACGAAAGGGACTGGGTTTTATGCCTGCAAACAGAAGGGCACCATCTTAAAGTCCTTTTCTCCTCTCTAGGAGACGAAAGGGACTGGTTTTGAACATCTTTCACATTCACTTCCCTTCTTTAGTCCTCAGTTTCCTTCTTGTAAAAGGGACAATCCAGTCCAGATGTTTAGCTTCTTTGTTGCTCTGATTTTGTGGCATCGTTGGTCACAAAAGGAAGTAAGTGCCGGTCCCTCTGCCCGGTGATGGAATTATGTATGTGCTGTTGCCACGTGCCTCTCAAGACGTTGCCAGCTTCAGGTCATATTTGATACACTTCAGTTCCCAGAACATGACCCAAGCCAGGCAGCATTTCTGTAATCTCGGTACACAGCCACTACAGTTCATGCCTGCTGAGTGATGACCAGCAGAAGACTCTATATAAAGTCCAAGGCCTTCTGGCTTCAGCTAAATGGTTGGAATTAAAATAACCACTCACACTTACAAAACATGGAAAATCCACCATCTCCTATTGACATTTTACTTCTACTCAATGGCCTGTCTCTCTTAGCATTTTATCCATGTCTTTTCCTATTTCTCTGTATTTATTCTCCTAGTTCAGAATCTAGTTTCACAGCTAGTTGCTGGTAGCTTTATACCTTTGAAGTGTTTCTCTTACCCTTTGCTTTAAACATCCTACATGAATTCTGTTAAGATGAGTTTTGTCCTTAGACTAAGCCTGTGTACATGTGTGCTAAGTCACTTCAGTCATGTCCGACTCTTTGTGATCCTATGCAGTGTAACCTGCCGGGCTCCTCTGTCCATGGGATTCTTTAGGCAAGAATACTGGAGAGGGTTGCCATGCCCTCCTCCAGGGAATCTTCCTGACCCAGGGATCGAACCCATATCTGTTTCCTGCACTGGCAGGTGGGTTCTTTACCACTAGCACCACCTGGGAGGCCTTAGACCAGGCTCAGTAGTTGGAAAGTTGTACCATCTTGGGAGTTTTCAGGCCTCTTTCTCGTTGGATCCATGTGTGAACTTCCACCAGCTCAACTCTGATATTTTGAACAAGGTTAAATCATGTAACAACATACTGAATCCCTAGGTTGAAAAGGGCCCATTAGTTCATCCCACAACCCGTGTTTGATTAGCACCTAAGGCAGAGCTCTCACAAGGTTGCAAAGCAGACTATTTGGTTGCTGGACACCTCCAATTTTTAGAAAGTTCATTTTTTTTCAAAAGAAATACACACAAGTAATCAAAATCTAATTGTACATCATCATGTAAAGTTTAAAAGATGACATTTGTCTCATGATTCTATATGCCAGTTAGTATTAAATATTGATTGAAATATTTCCACTTATTTTTCTTGCTTTGTATGTATATATTCACACACATGAGATTATAATGAATATGTAAGTCTATAATATGAATCAGTCTTTGATAGGCTGAGCCTAAATCTGCCTTCCTGTAATTTCTACCCATTGTTCTTGGCTCTTCCATAATGACCAACATGAGAGTAAAAGGATACCACTTTTCACACAGCTGTCTTTAATAATTTTCAATCAGTGACTCTTGCCTCTTCTGGGCTGGATTTCTTCAACTCATTCACCTGTTCCCTGCTCCAGTGGGTCAGTGGTCCTTTCATGCTATTTTGCTGATAGCTGAGCTCAAGATGCAGCTGGAGCCTGTGCAGAATGGAGCATGGGCTTTCAAGTTTCTACAAAACCCCAAGACCTCCACCTCCTTAGAATGCAGACACTTAGAGGCCATGTCACATTCTTCATGAAGGATGGGCTTGTGGCCAACTGAAACCCCCAGGTGTTTTTGCATGAATGGCTGCCAAGCCAGGTCTCTTCCATCCCATACTCATGTAACTGATTTTTTTAAACCAAATTCCAGGGGCCTTTGATTTTACTTGTCTGGATATTGGACCAGACAGTATACACTGTGTGTGTGTGAGAAAGAACAAGAACAGGGGGAGAAAATTTTCTTCTTGCCAAGGCCATACATTTTTGGAAGTCTTCTTTTGGAATGACTGTTGAGCCAGTTTATGTACCATACAAGAAAATTAGCCTCATTTCTTTATAGTCACACCTTGTTTGGAACCAAAAATAATGTTCTTCAGCTTGATCACCCACCTCATTCACTGCCAAGTAGCTTTTAGCTGTTTCCAAAAATCAAATTTGCCTCCAAGAAACAAAGGCCTCCCTGAGAAGATTCCAAAGAATAGGCTATGGGGTATGGAGGGGTTTTCCCTCGAAGAAAAGTTCTACAGTATTTGAGGACACTGTACATCTTGGAAGAACACAGCATTAGTTTGAATATAAAAGGTCTGCTAGGTTTGCCAAGGAACCAACAAAATAAGCTCATCACTTTTTATTCATTTTTATATGTTTGGAAACAAATACATTGGTTTCGAAAGTTTCACATTAAAAATAGATGGAAAAGAACAAAATGGCAGAGTAGGAAGACACAGAATTCACCTCCTCCCCAACAAACACATAAAAAATACCTCTACATTTGGAGCAATCTCACTGAAAACTAACAAGACTAACATAAAGGCTCTTCTACAACCAAGGCTAAAAGAATCCACACAGAATCAGGTAGGAAGGGAAGAGAAGTGATGGAGTTGGGACCTTTGTCCCTGGAAGGAGACACAGAATGGGGGGAGGGGGTGAAAAATGCAGAGATCTTCACCAGGAAGGGAGCAGTTCCAGCCACACATTGGGCATGGAGGCCTGGGAAGATAGCCCCCTTACTTTGAAAACCAGTGGGACTAACAGGAGGGCTGTAAGAAACCTAGACTCCGCTAGTGAAGTGCATGCATACACTTGCTTACTCCTGAAACAAGGCAGAA